AGGTGCTGTGCTGAGCTCCACACCAGGCAAGCTGATGATATTCCAGGCTTTTGCATAGATGAAATAGAGCTAATGATATTTCAAGGTTCCTTTGGCCCTTGAAAAAAAATCTATGAATCAACAAGCAAAAAAGAGCCAAGTTTTGGAAGAGAACTTTACAGCAGTTCTGCACAGCTCAGAACTGGGGTGTTCTCACACCACAGGCTGCAATTAGATTCAAATCAATGACAGAGGAGTGCCACGCTGTGAAGAGCAAGTAACTGAAGTTGTTCTGCCTGAAAAAGTACCTTGCCAAAAATTCCAGCTTTATTCACAGCTGACAGGCACTCAGTTGAAAAGCTAGATTGGTAAAGGGAATTTTTTTCCAGAGATCTCACTGCACTTCAGAGTCTGAGAAGAATCTTCAGGAAGATACTTTAAAATGGATTTAATTTTCACAGAGTTTATTTTGCACAACTCTGGGCACATGCCAACACACAATCCAGCATTTTTTTTTTTTTTTAATAACTCCTTGAAAAGCAACTTAATTTTTTTTTAATTTGAAAATGGAAAGTCATTTTTGCATCCATATTACCCAGTCACCAGCTGTATCATGAACATGCATCCATAGTTTCAGTATTTCTAAGAGTGTTACTGACTGATTTAAACATGTGCTATTGGCTATGGAAGTGACTTCAATGAAACACTTCAAACTCCACAAGACTTTCTGTGAAACAAAAGCTCCAAGTAAAGTTCATTTGAAAATTCTGATTTAATACTATAGTCTTTGTCAAATCCTGTAAAAAAGCTCACCTGACAAAATGTGAGTCTTGCCCAGTTCCTGCTAACAATAAAACTGAGGAGAACATTGAAAACACAGATGAAAGCAGCCAGGTTTTCACTAGACTCTCCCAAAAGCTGCTCAGGGAGCTCTACTAATCTTGAGGTCTTTTAGGCAAGAAGCCTAATTCTTTTTCCCTGCTTTATTTCTTGCACTGTTGCTGAGAGCTGCACCCTGGGTTTCTACCTCCAGCTCCTCAGGTAAGGGACTGAATCCAAAAAGTGGATGTGCTAACAGGTGGCTCTTGCAAAGCAAGGTTTGCAGCTTGCTCAGCCAATGCTTGAATTCATTGCTGATTTTTGGAAGGAGGGAAAATAGATTTTCAGTGTTGCAGAAACAATTTCAGTAATGTAAACCTAAAGGGAAAGTTCTGTTTCTTGGAGAGTTAAGTGATTTTGAGATTCCCACTGCAAGGTGCTCAGCTTAAAACCCCAGGCTGGCAGCGCAGAATTTGGGTAAACAGAAGAGAAGGCTGCTTTCAAGTTATAACTAATTCCAAAAGCTTCAGCTACAAGATAACAGTGTGGGAAGGTGGTGCAAGCAGTAAATATTTCAGTGGTTTTGTGAGTCAAAATGCCAGGCACAGAGGCTGTGTCCTGGGAGAGCTGAAGCACGTGTGGTCCCTGGTGCAGGGTTTGTTTATCTGAGCACTGAGCCAGCAGCCAGCTCCTCTGTGCATCTGAACGGTGACACCGTGTCACTCAGAGGCCTCCAACACCAGCTTTTCTGCATGCATTTGATCAGAACTTGAAGAAAAAAGGAGAAGAAGCACTCAGGATTCACGTGTCTGCAGTATTTCTGTCAGTGTTTAAGACACCATGGCCTTTTCAACTGGCTCCTTAGCACTGATGTGACAATGAAAGCCTGTGAAGAAGGGAATCAGAGGAGCTTTATTCCCACAGTTCATTGGCCATATTCTCTTCTGTCTAGCACAGATGTGAATGAAGGAGATTGCCAGAATTGGCAGATCCCAGTTATGAAACAGGCACAGAGGCAGGGGACTGATTTTCCTTCGGAGCGTCGTTTCACTCCTCCCTTTTGTCTTCCTCTGCTGATTGCACTGGAGCAGCAAGGGAGGGTTCAAGTGAAATTATCCCTGAAGTCAGACCATTATCAGCTTTTCCAGCTGGCTGGGGAAGGGAACAGTGTGGGCACCTGCAGTGTCAGGTCCCTGCCAAGGCTGTGCCCTAAGCTCCCACCCATGCTGGTGCCCAGGTGTGACACTGCATGCACATCAACCTGCTGAAGTCCCTCTGGCCATGGCCAAAGCCCAGCAAGCATCAGGGTCTTCTCTGAGGCTGGGCACTTGCTCTACGTACCAGATCCTGACACCCATGGCAGGTCACAGCCTCTGTCCCTGGATGTATTCTCTACCAGGGACCACTCCTGAGGTGCTCAGTGGAACAGCCCTCACAATTCCTGGGGTACAAGTTACCCTCCAGTCTGCCAGTCATGGCTAAACGTGGCACGAGTTGCTGCTAGCCAGGTCTTCCAGGATCTTCCACAGGCTTCCCTGAATTGCTGCTAGGATGGACTTTGCTGAGCTTCACACAGCAGCTTTGGCTGGTTCACATTCCCTCCTACAAAGGTTTATAGATAAACAGTAAAACCCAGTAGTCCTTTAGAAAATATTCTGACTTTGGGATTTTCTCAGTAATGCCAAGCAGCACGTACTTCTGTAGTTCCAGTGGATTTAGCTAAGGTTTCCATTGGCTAGGAGACACCTGAGATTTAAACAGTAGATACATACACATGCTGGATCCAGAAAAGCATGAGTCACAGTCTGTGCAGGAAAGAACTTTGTAATGCACTGAGCATCATTTGCAGCAGTGGAGAAAAGCAAGGCTGTGCACAGCAAACACTCACACTCCCTAGCAGTTTGTGAAAAGTGACGTGTGAGCCAAACTTGAGAAGCATATTTCTCATTTAATGACATTCCACACCGATTTCCAGGGTTAAAATTCAATGTTCATTTCTCCAGGCCCTATGTGTGTGCACAGGACATGCATGCACCCACGTGCAGACAGGTATTTAATTACAGGCTATTTTAAATGGTGATTTCTCTACCTGAGTTCTTTGTTACCCAAAGCCTTTGGACCTTTTTAAGCATTTGGTGGCTTTTTGTATAATGGGGTTTATATTTTGTGAAGACAGAAATGATTTGGATTAGCTTATTCAATCAAATTTTACAGAACTCATGAATTGTACTGAGATGGGATCGAGTTTCTCAGGAGATACTTATGTTTATCAAGTTAAATACAGTCCAGTTGTGCACTGCTTCATCCAAGTAAGGAAAAATAGAGTAAAATTTGGGTGGCTGTCTTAATGAAGCTGCCTTGGTACATAGCTCTCAGTCATTGAAATAATTCTGTTTATCTTATTTATCAAGCAGAAATGGCAAAGCAAAAATTGTTTCTTCCCTATGCTTCAAAATAACTCAAAATAAATAATAAAAAAAAACCTTTTGAAGAAAACTGGAATTGGCTACATACATTTTTTCATCTGGTTGTATGTGGGCACTAATATTTGCCTTCTTTTCTTTCAGGATGTGATTCTAAAAGTACTCAGAATGGATCTTCTTCCTGTTCTGAAGCCACCAGGAAACTTCTGGTACCTCAAAAAGATAGTATTGATGTTGGCTGCTTTTTTAAAAGAGCAGGAGCATTTGTCTTGAAGAACTGGGAAAGGTTAAAAGAAAACCCAATAACAGAACAAAACAAAGTAAGAACCTAGTCTTTTTCTCGAAGCAATAAAAGGGTACAGGCATTCCCTCACCTTCAAAGGTTTCATCAGTTCTGCCTAGAACTGATCATCAGCAGTGATGAGGGTTTTTAAGATGCAAATAAGAGAGCTGGCTGCATTACAACTATGTCAGGTTTCCAGCCAGAAGGCAGAAGTGATGAGGCTCAGCTCTGGAGCTGGGATGTGGAGGAGCAGTGCAGCTTGGCAGGCTCCTGGAGGAAGCCTTATCTCAAGTGCCTGTGCTCTGGTATTAAGGAGAGCAGATGAAATATGCAAAAGCAAGTTCAGCCTTCTATAAAATCTATTACACCACAAAGCACCTGGTTAAAAACAAGTTGCTGCTTAGAAATTATGGGGATTCATCAAATGGTCTCTACCCGGAGTATTGACATTTTATTTTTATTTTTGTTTTCTGAGTTCCCAACGTACAGGAGAAGAAATGCAATGTTTCTTGGCTGTAGTGAAAGCTAGAGAGGCAATCAGTCATTTATCCATGCTCAAGGGACACCTTCAGGTATGGAAAGCAATACAGAATGTCCCCATATCCGGAACGCTCAGAACAATACGTCTACTGTGGTGCCACCTTTGACACCTGATATCAACTTCTTCCCAGCCTGTCTCTGAATTTCAATGTTGGTACATCCTGAGGGTACTGTTTAATAGTACAGCATTCATTCTGAATGCAGTTTACTCCATTATGGAATATTTTGCTTAAACACTCTGTATCCCTGTCACCATCATTCACTACAATTCATTATTGCTGCAAGAATCATAAGAATGATTCACTAAAGGCAAATAATTCTTGGAAGGGGAAATAGAGAAACTCTAGATATTTCAGGTTTGGAATGGAAAGCATTAAAATAAAGAAAACATAGTAAAAAGAATGATTAGTTATATTGTGAAGAACACTCCATCCTCTGCAAATTCTCTCTCTCTCTCTTCAGCGATATACACACAAGACAATAGGATAACTATTTCTTTGAGGTTCACTTCTCATCTAAAGTCAAAATATCCATGAGCTTTTACCATAATTACTCCAGCAGCTAATTATGATGCCATAGACAGACCATTGTGACTCAAGGACCAGCCTGAGCAGCAGGAACAAATGCAAAGCAAACAGGAACGTCTGTGTTTCCACAGCACCACAGTGGCTTTAGCAATAAAGAAGAAGAAGAAAATGTAAAAGAGGGAAAGCAGATGGGAGAAAATTCAGAAAATCTATGATGTTCACAAATACCCTCTACAGTCACTGTTTTTGAGAACTGGCTAAGTGGTCCTCCAAGCAGTAAACACACTTAGAAAAAAAATGCAGGGAACAATGAAAGGAAAATTTACCAATATAATTCTCCGTAACAGAGGATCAGGGGAAACTCGTGGCCATATTTATCCTGTTTCATGCTGAGGGGATGACAAGGCTGAGAATAAAAGCAGTACTTACATCCTGAGCTGCCATTTGTTGGAACCAGAGTGAAGTTGGAGGCCCAGGGGTTACGCACGATGTCTTGCCAATGAATGGTGTCTGCAAAGCAGAGAAATTTGTTCTGGCCAACGTACACCCCTCCATTCAGTATCTCTGTGCAGAAGAACAAGAGAACAATGTACTTGTAAGAGTTCAGACAGCTGATTAGATCTATTGTTAAATGTGCATTAGAGAGAGGGCATGAAATTTAAATTTAAAAAAAAAAACCTCTCACTGTAATCTGATTTAATAATCTGAAAACTGGAGGACAAGGAGCTCACAGTATTTGTAAATAGGAACCCTTTATTCACATGCAGAAGAAACCTGATGAAGACTGACACACAGTTGTTTACCTTTTGTTCCAGAGTGATAATGTATGGAACTCCTCTTTATTTTGTGGGTAAAATAACCTTCAACAGTTAAATTACTTTAAAAACACAATCAATCAATCAATCAATCAATCAATCACACAATATTGCATTTCATTAATTTGCAGAAATGCTTAAAACTTATAATAAAGAACTGTGATGTGATGAGCCCACAGGACATGAGAAGGGGCCAGTCAGCACCAGATCTGGAGAAGATGTTCTGCTACAGCCTGTGCTGCTGTAACACCATCTTCCAAAACACCCAAATACTTCACAGCAATGATCCAGATCTCAAACACTGTGACCCAAAACTCCTATGGACATTAAGCTTTGTGTTAAAGTGAGATGATTTTTAAACAGGGAAAAAACAGGAAAAAGTTTTGGGGTTCTTCTTAGGTTGTGGGGCTTTTGTGTTTTTTGTTGGGTTTTCTTTATGTTTTCATATTTATAGAAGTTTGCTTTTTTTAAAAAAAAACCTCTATTGCCCTGCCTGTAAAGACTTGATTTATCAAATCTCAACATGAAAATGATCTTTCAGTTGTTGATGGTAGCACCAGGGTTTCCTCTGAAGCAAAAACTTTTTTTTTTTCACCCCTTAAACCCTTGTTCAAATTCACAATTCCTCTACTTAACCTGTCTCTTTTATTTCCAAAGCAGGAGACAACGCACATTACTTTCATGAAAGTTAACAGGAACAATGAGTCCAAAACCTTCAGTGTCAGAGCTTCAAGCCTCAGCAGAGAAATGATGAAGGTTAGCTCCTAATGGCACCTTGGAATGACAAGAAGTGGTGCTGTGGATCCAGGAGTGCCACACTTCTCACAGAGACATGCAGAGTAACTCCTGACTATGGCAGGAGCAATGATTAAAGCAGTCTGATAATCCTCATCTGCCAGGAAAAACTTCAAAAGCTGTAGTGGGAATGCAAACATTTACACACACCAAGGAAGGAATTACTGTGCTTTATTTCTTTTTTAAATTTCAGGGTTTACAGGCCACAGCATGTAAATGAGGCAGCCCCCAATCAAGGGATGCATTTAATAAAGAATCATCTGTAAATACATCTTCCCACCAAATAAATCAGTATTACTATTTCTTAGAAACCTCTGGTTTAAAAGCTTGGCTTTTCATTGAAAAGGGGCTTATAAATGAAAACAATGATAATAATCTGATACGGGGAAACAGTCCAGATTAGAGATATAGCAATGATCTGTCTGTATAATATTCTTATGATCACAGAAAAAAAAAACTATACAGCATCTGTTAAATATTTTCCTCTGGGGAGAAAGGGGGGGCTTAGAAGAACACTTGAAATTGTGATTAATGATGATTTCTCTGTGTTGTCCCAGCTACACCAGATTACTTAATCCATTATGGCCCAGATTTTGATTAAAAATAACATAAAAACAATGAAAAAACTGTAAAATCTGCATTTATAGCTTCTTAAACACACACATACAATTCTACATAGCTCCTGTATCAGCTGGCACACTGTACTGGCATCATTTCTGGCTTTCAAGAGTTTCCACCTAGCCAAGTTTTTTTTCCTGCTAAGAACTTTGACACATTCTTGTAAAGCAGGATCTCAATCTGAAAGTAATTCTAATAGTTTCAATTTGTGGAGAAAGACTTTTTTTCAGCATAAAGGTATCCAGGAAGTGTACCATATGCTATACCTCAGGGAAGCCAACACTTTCTATGGTGAATTACTAAAACCACAAAAAATGCTCTGACTTGCCTCATCACTGAATAGCAAGTGCTGTTTCTGCTGCTTTTTCCCAAAAACAGGATACAGAGCCTCCATTTTCCCTGCACTGCACCATTTTTCACCAGAGACAGAATTAAGGTTTCTAGGTTAGTGATGCGCTGAGGTGCAAACAAACACGAGCAATAACAAAGGTGAGCTCTTGTGGATATAAAGCAACACCGAGTTCAAAGTTTAGTACAATCTTTAGAGCACTTGTATTTGACTCTTTGTGCTCTCTGGGAGCCAGGCTCATTTCCACTCCACCTTCCCAAAACAACCTGCTATCCTACTTTTCTTTACACCGAATCCTCGGTGTGTGTAAATCAGCACAGACGCATTGGCTTCACTAACTCAAACTCCAAATGCATTTTGCACTTCTTTGCCCTCTCTTAGCAAGAACAATGCCTGGGAAGAGCTAATAAACCCTGTTACATGTTAAGCAAATGAAGCACAACTGTAATCAATATACAATAGAGCTGCTGTATAATGAACTCATCATCATAAAGTCATCATCTCATTTTAATTTACAGCCCTGAAAGTGAGAGATAAAGTTAAACAATGAACAGGAGCAGAAAGGCAGGATCTCTGCCTGTGAAGGCAAGCCAGAGGTGGAAGGCAGGCAAAAAGGTTTCTTCTCCTGTGCACAACACCTGAGGTGCCTCCTTGCTCAACTCCTTCCAAGGCTGGAGCAGAAGAGAGAATGCCAAATCCCTGAGTGAATTTTGTGAACAAAGCCAGCTCCTGCCAGAGAAACCCAAAACCAGACTGCTCAGAGCGAAACATATTTTAAATGCCACTTGGGGGTGAGTGTTTTTGTCTTCTGAAACAATTTTTTGGGACATTGGGAAACTGTTAGTCCAAATAGGACCCTGCTAGCAGCAAGTGCTACCCTTGGGCTTCCACCCTGCTCAAGGACATCAAGGAACAAAAGGGGATTTCTAAGCATAAGACCCACTAGGTTTCACTGGGGAAATTGCTCCTAGAGGTGCCAGACAACTTTGGACATCTTTCTGCAAGGTGTAACACTTCAGGTTTGCAAAAGGAGCAAAGGAGTAGCACCAAGGGCTTTTGCCACTTGATTCTGAAGTGAATGGCAAATCTTATCATCTTCCTTATTTGTACTACTCTACTGGCTTAAAAGCAGTATAATTCTGCAAACAAAGTTAGACAAAAATAAATCAGTATGTGTCCTTGCCACTGAATTCTGTCATTATTTTTCTTATTACCCTCAAATGATTGTGGGGAACTTATATCTGCATGTTATTAAAATTCTCTTAAAGGGTTATTTACTCAGGAAGTTAAATCAGAAATGTATTATCTGTTGTTATAGCAGCTATTTTCTTGCTTTCATTAGCCTAATGAAACATTCCCACAGACTTTGGTAACCTACCATACAATAAATACTAGCAAGAGAAATGGAAATGTCCAGGTCTCTGGCAAACCAGGAACACAGACAGGTACATCACACACAGTTCATACTTAGTCTGACAAATTCAAAAAAGGGACTCAGAGTTTGATTGGAGTCACTAATAACACATTATTATTAGAAGCACACAATCACTGCAAAGGGACACTGGCTCTTCAAGGGTGGTGTCTGCTTTAGACCAGAGAGGGAAACCACTTTTCTTCTTCCATCTGTTAAAAAGGCATTTTATTGAGCTGATTTTTTTTCTTGTGTACAGTATAATTCCTCGTGGTCTGCTATCCAATTTCTAATGTGGGCTAAATTGGCAATCCATATTCTCATTCTGTAATGTATCCTGGAGTGAAAGTTACTCATGTATGTTTATATGCAGTGGGGGTTGTAAACATCTATTTAGCTGTAGAATCTGCTTCTAAAATTGTTACAAAAATGGTTATGAAATGGCTATTGCTATTCCAGGTTGCAAATGAAAAGCTGTTCTCTGGTGCTACAAAACCAGTTGGCACAAGGAACTGGAAGATGGCATGGTGAGAGGGAAAAGAACAGGACCTGAAGTGGGCAGGGAAAGGGGAGGGAGTTAATCAGGAAAATCTGTGGGGTATACCCACTCTAACCACTTCAAAAGAAAACCAGAATATATCTTACACCTTTCAAACTGACTGGATATGAAGGAAACAGCTGTCTTTTACACCCCAGCATCCACAGGTATATCCTGCATGTATGTATTATATAACATGTGTTGGTGACACCTGAATTTCCAAGGTCAGCCTCACTAGAGCTGAAGCACCTTTGCAGGTTGACAGTGCTGCATCGTTACCATAAGCACCCCAGTGATGAGGATCTCTTCTCCTATTTCACCCAAGATGCTGAATGCATCATCTGAAAACAGCTTAAGCCTAGAAATTTCATGCCAAACCAAGTCTTTTGATCCCTCAGCATAGTTCATTGCTGATGACCCACTGGGAAAGCACTTCAGGTCCATCATTAATAAGTTCTGTCTTAAAGGATAATGAGAACTGGGTGCTTTAGGAGACAATAGCTCATCCATCATCAATCAAGATCTGAAGTTTTTATACAGATGATTTAAGAAGAGCTGGACTGTGCAAAATTGAAATGTCACATTTGTATTGGGAGATGGGGGGCGTTTAGTAATGAAAATGAGAGTTTTAACCTTCTCCATTTCAGCTCAATGACCATACTCAAAAGCTCATGGATGTGGAATCTGTGTCCCAGCTAGAAGCCCCAGACAGCCTTCGATCTCAATTATACAATTTCAAGTACAGTTTATTTGGGTCATTAGCTGGAAGTCAGTTTCAAGGCTTGACGGTAACAGCAAGATATTCTTTATTTCTATCAAAAGCAATCAGTGTTATGTGCAGCCTGTGGGTTTGTGCTTCCAACTGCTCAATAACTAAGAACACTGGGTTGTAGAACCTGAGAATAAATCTTCTAATCCTAGCCACCTGTTTTGCTGCTTAAATAAAAATGGATCATTTGATTGCCTTTCACTGAGTTGGATGGGGTACCCTTCTCACCACAGAGGTGTGTGAAGACAGGCTCACAAGGTACTTGCCACCATTTAGTTACTTCATTAGAGGACAACAACTCTTTTTTAGCCATCTCCCCAAAGGGAATATCTGTTTCATGAAAAGGTTCATCCAGAGAAGACATTTGTACTTGGATCATTCCTCTGTCTGTGAGTGCCTTGAATTCTTCCTTTTCATGCCCTTATTAAAATAAGACAGCAAATTATTTACCTGGTTAACTCTGCAAAAGGAAAAAACCACTGCAAAATATCCAGCCCTTTGGGATAAACACCCCAGAGTTACAAGGTGTGTTTCATGATTATGTTTTACTTTGGGAAGTGCCTGTACATGTGTGCAAGTCTATGTCATGCTGCTGGACTTCACCATTTCAGCCTGCACAAGATGCATCAGACACATGGCCCCAAAGGGTTCCATGCATGGACAAAGTGACCCAAAACACTACAGAAAAGAGTAGCAACAGCTGAATCCAAAGAGTAACACAAAACCCCTGCACCCACCCAAAAGGGAAGAAAACACTTGGGTGTGAACTCAGTGCAAGATGTGCTTCTGCTCATCAGGAACAGTCCTGTTCTGAAGTGTAATTGGTTTTCTTTACACACTAAACTTGGCTTGTGCTAGAGGAAATGGTCCCTAATCCTGCTAGATTTTAGTGGTTTCTCCCTTTAAGCCGTTTTCCAGTGACCACAGCAGCTTCTGCCTGCTTGGATCCTGATTCCCTGAAGTAGCCAGGCCCAGGTTTACACTTAAATCATTCCCTTCCCCTCCTCTCTGGAGGAGGCTTTCTGCTCTGTAATAATTACTCTGCTTTGATGAGGGAGATGCAAATCAAGGTTACTTTTGTTAACCACACCCCTGCCATCGGCATTACATGTCCTTGATGTTAAATAACCAGGCAGAACATAGCAGTGTCTGAGCAGCCCCAGCTCTGCCATTCCCTTTGCAGATGGTAACTGCAGGAGCAGCACTACCTGTTTACAGCTTTACCCACCTCATTCTTTTCCCATCATGAGCTTTTCAAAAGCTGTTTGACCCTGTTGACTTTTCAGGTGAGGAGCTTTCCTGTAATATATTGGCTCTGTTACAGGGATATTAATTTGCAGGATGAGATGCTAATTGCCTCACTTTGTCCAGGCAAATTCTGAACTTGGTGTTAGAAGCCAAGTGCCTTGAGTTACTGTTTACTCAATATAATTCATGGGGTTGACAGGTAGATTAACAGAATATAATTCATGGGGTTGACAGGTAGATTAACAGATATAAACCTTATAACTGGAACAATCCAAGGGGCTTCCTGGGGGTTGCTCCAAGTCAGGGAAAGAGGCAGAACAAGCCTAAAGAAATGATGACTGGGGAGAGGGGATCTCTAATTGCAGTCTGCCTTTACCTAAAGGAAGACTAAAGGGGAAGACAGACCCTTCTCAGGGACAAGAGGCAACAGGAACCAGCTGCAATACGGGAAACACTGATTAGAATTCAGAAAAGTATCGTTCCCAGCTAGAGTGTGGTTAGGCACAGGAGCAGACTGATCAGACAACTGGTGCTATCTCCATCTCTAGAGATTCTAATAAACAATGAACAACCTGATTCTTGTCTGAAGTTACCTTGCTCTTAGCAGAAGATTGGACTAGATGACCTCTGGATATTCTTCCAACCCAAATTATTTTGTCCTTCTACAGTTATTAATCATCTACTACCGCAGTACTCACAACACTCCATTAGCAATTTATTCTCTCAATTTTTATGAAAGCATACTTAATTTTAAACTTTTACCTACTGGTAAGCATTTGGTGATGCAAAACACCCACCTGGAAGATAGAATATATTATAAGCACATCACATGCATGTATAAGTAAATGCTTCAGGATTTGAAATACAGAACCATTGTCACTGTCTCCTATTTCATAAAAAGGGGACATGTGGACTAAGACGAATGAAAGAACTGCTGCCCTTCAATCTTCTGATTTTTGGTTAGCAAAAAGAAAATTGCATTCATTTAAGTCACTGGGGTGAATCAGTGATGAGTTTCAAATTACTATCCAGAGAGAGAGCGACACATCGCTGGCTCACCCTGGAAGACACTCTCGTACTCAGTAAGAGCAGCAATATTCCAACAGCCAGGAATAAGCACTCATTTCATTCACAGCATCCATGATTTCATCCTCAGGTATCCCAGCCCTCCCTGATGGGGATAGCTGTATCCCAGTTACAGGAGCACACTCATGAAGAGGTGAGCTGGTTCTGCAGGGTACTGGTGTGTGCTTCTTCAGCATCCTCTGATGACACACCACTCCTGGGCAGTGCTTACCTTCCAGCTCTTCCAAAAAACACACCTCTGAGTATAGGTTTCAGGCAGGACACCCAGCTGTGGACATCTGAGTATTCAAACATCATTAAAACCTTCTGAACCCAAACCAAATCGCCTTTCCTCTGCTGTGTTCACAAAAGGAACAGAAGAGGCGATGATGTGCTGTGCACTGGGTGCACCAACAGGGCAAAGTCTCCTTGGTATCCAGCAGGCTCCAGAAAGCCTGGAGGCTCTGACAGATACCCCAGTACTGGGATTTATTTCTGCTGTCTGGCTATCTTTAACAGTGAGCATCCTATAGGACATAAATTGGTGTAATGACCCAAAGCAGCTGTATCAGCGCTTGCCTTGTCTGTGTCCTTCACAACCCTTGTTTTCTGCATCAGGCACCCTCCAAATTTGTTCAGTGAAGGCTGAACAGACCTCAGTGTCACTTTGTGTGCCCTCTTGAAATGCTACCTGTGCCTTACAGCATCACACTGATCTGCTGACACACAACCAAACCACCTTTCCTGACTCACCATGGTTGTTTTGCACTCATTTTTCCTCACAGATTCTCCAGAGCTTTTGGAGAACATGCTGCCATTGGAATGTTTCTCCAGGTGAGTGGCTCCTGCTACTGAGGGGCAGCATGTTTACGTGCCAGCCCTACAACAACACTCCTAGCACCTCCAGGGCATTTCCACCAGCTGCAGATGCCTCCACAAACTCTTCAGTGAGCACAAGTCCAGGTGTGCAGGGGGTAAGACTGAAGATACATTCTCCAACAATCCTCCTTCACCTCTGCCTGCTCAGAGTTCTGGTGTAAGGAACACAGGAACCTAAACCTTACAGTTTTATCAAAATACTTAATATTTTGATCAAATGATCACGTAATGTTTCATGCATGCTGATGGCAGCTCTAAGTCTATCCCTTCTGTCAGCTGAGGTAAGTAACTGTGGGACTGTCATGTCCCTTTTCTCCTGGCACCAGCTCTCTCTACAAGAGTAAATGCTGCATGGCAGTTTGTCTGGCATTGCTGCTGCATCCAGGCCAGATTTCTACATGGAAATCAAGCAGCAGTAGGAACAGAAACCTCAGCAAGGCCAGGGGCATCTGAATGCAGCAGGGCTTCCCTACAGCACCCCCAAGAGCTCCAGCTCTGGCATTATCTGGTGGTGTATTTTCCAGCTCTTTTCATACAGCCCCTGACAAATCAAGCAGGCTGCTTTCTATCCCAAGCACATCTGGCACTCAGGCCTTAAACTTGGCAAAGAGACTGATGGCCTTCTGTCTTGGAGTGCAAGTGCCTCAAGTACATCCTGATTGGCATCAACAAGCAGAAATTCCTTCTCTCTTTGAAAAAAAAAAAAAAAAAAAAGTCAAGATCTGGATGTAGTGGTACTTTCCTCCATTTTCTGAAAGGCTGTAAAAAATTACTGGCTCCATAGAGCCCTTCTCTTTCAAAACTATCATAATGTGGCTTGGAATAATCCTGGAAGGGTGCCCAGACCCACGTCCAGCTGCATCCTGAATTTCAGTACAAGTATTTGCATACAGGCTAGTAATTGGCATGCAGCTGGTTTTATGCCAGCTCCAGCAATTGCATAACCCAGCTAATCTTTTCTCTGGGCTCGAAAGAGGAGTCTGTGTCTGCTGAGCTTAAAATTTCTGGATGGGATCTGCTCAAGTATGCTCTCACATTTTTATGCCACACTGTTAACCTTTCCTGAGATACAGTGCTGACTCTTCAAATAGGAATTTTAATTGAAATTTGTCTGAGGTAGGAGGTGCCTCTGCCTTTCAGTGGCTCTCCTGTGCTGAAACTGGGCGAATGACATGAAAATCCTCCTCCTGCACAGAGGACTGTGGAAGGACTCTTCCTTGGCTCCTACAATCTGCAAGACCTTGGATTGCACTTGCCCTCCCAGTGCTGTGGCTGGGAACAGCCAGATAACAGAAAGAAGGCCTGTGAAGTGAAGAACCTGTGTGTTAATCACAGTAATCAGTAAGGCCTTCTTTGTAAGTTCATAGGTTTGAGAAGGTCTGAGCCTCTACTATGGCAACTCCCATTTTTTCCCCTTTAATTGCCATAATTGCTAAGAGGTCTCTGTCAGTCCTGCTTCTTGCTTTTGAATGCACATTTCAATCAGGTTTCAGATCTGATGGGGTGTCAGGGAGCCTGTCTATGCAGCTGTGCCCAACCCTTGTGGTAACACAGATAACATGTTCCTGCTAACAGTTCTCTGTCCCCAAAACTCCCATGCTTTCTGTGATGGTCATATTTGACCACACCCTTTTGACCTTATTATGGCCATTTCTGTGCATCTGTCATTAGGTAATAGTGAAACAGTGGAAACCACTAAAATGTGGCTGTTATGGAAAAGAAATCCAGAATTCAGGCTAATTTTTTTTACTCTATGTGTTGGTTTTGCTCAGCCTGGTTTTTGGTAGTGGTGGGGCCACAGACGTGGCTTCTGTGAGAAGCTGCTGGAAGTTTCCATCATGTCCAGAAGAGCCAGTCCCTGATGGCTCTGGAGATGGATTTGCTGCTGGCCAAAATTGGGCCAGTGAGAAAGGCTGGTAACATATTTAAGAAGAAAATCAAAACAAAGTGGGGGACAGATTTTTCTTTCAGTCAGAGAAGAGGAGGAGGTGAGAACATGTCAGGGAAACAACAAGGCAACACCAAGGTCAGTGCAGAAGGAGGGGCAGGAGATGCTCCAAGTGCTGGAGCTGAGGTTCCTCTGCAGGCTGTGGTGAGACCATGGTGAAGCAGCCGTGCCCTGCAGCCCATGGGGATCCATGGAGGATGCAGAGATCCATGCCAAGCCCATGGGGGATGCACAGATCCATGCCCAGCCCATGGGGGATGCACAGATCCATGCCCAGCCCATGGGAATCCATGGGGGATGCAGAGATCCACCCACAGCCCATGGAGATCCATGGGGGATGCACAGATCCATGCCCAGCCCATGGGAGATGCACAGATCCATGCCCAGCCCATGGGGGATGCACAGATCCATGCCCAGCCCATGGGATCCATGGGGGATGCACAGATCCATGCCCAGCCCATGGGGATCCATGGGGGATGCACAGATCCATGCCCAGCCCATGGGGATCCATGGGGGATGCACAGATCCATGCCCAGTCCATGGGGATCCATGGGGGATGCACAGATCCATGCCCAGCCCGTGGGGGATGCACAGATCCATGCCCAGCCCATGGGGGATGCACAGATCCATGCCCAGCCCATGGGGGATGCACAGATCCATACCCAGCCCATGGGAGGTGCCCACACCAGGACAGGTGGATGCCTGGAGGAGGCTGTGATCCATGGAAGACCCGATGGAGGGAGGGCCCTGCTTCCAGGCTGGAGCAGCCTGTCCTTGGAGGGCTGCACCCTGTGGAAGAGTGACCCACAGCACAGCAGTCTGGGGAGGACTGTCTGCCCGTGGGAGGGACTCACACTGCAGCAGGACTGGGAGAGCTGCTGCTCCTGACAGTGGATCCATGCTGGAGAAGTTCACGGAGAGCTGTCTCCTGTGGGAAGGGACCCCATGGTCTCATAGGGGAAGGATTTCTCTCCCAGAGCAGCAGAAGAAAACCTGGGGTGATGAACTGGCCAAAATCCTCACTCCCTGTCTCCCTGCACTGTCAGTGGGAAGGAGGGAGGCAATGGGGGGAAAAAGGTGTTTTAAGAGCTTATTTTACTTTTCATTATCCTCCTCCGATTTTGCTAGAAATAAATTTACTTTGCAACTTTAATTTGAGCCTGTTTTGCCCTTGAAGTCTTTCCTCCTGGACCTTGTGTCAAATCATGATCCCTTTGTTAATTTTCATTTTTCTCTCCTCTGCCCACCTGTGTCAGGGGAGGGTGAGTGAGCAGCTTTCATGGGTGCCTGGCATTGGGAAAGTGTCAAACCATGACAAACTATTAACCTCGAACCAGACACTCAGGTGAGGCAAATAAGCACAAGTGAATTCATGCCAAAATAAGCACTTTGGATACAGGGAGCTAAAGCAATGGGTGACAAAGTGCTAAGCAAAAGAGATAGTTCAGCATGAGTTCATTCAATGTTTTAAGACCACCATCACTCTCCTCAAGTGTTCCCTAGTTGTTCTGGCTGCTCTTAAATAGGAGCAGCTCATCCTCCACCAATCCTAATTTTAACAACATCTCACCTTCCATTCTGGCTTTTTTAAAGTTAACAATGAAAACCCTCTTCTTTCTTTCCTTCCATCAATACTTTGATGGCTACAAACATTCTCCCAAGACACCCCTTTCTTCTCCCAGCACAGGAATTGCAGTGAACCCAAACTGCTCTCAGTGATGCTGCAGTAGGTCACAAGAGATGCTGTGACTTGTGACATGGAAGTAAAACTGCAGTGAGATCTATGTCATCACTAACAGGACATCCTCATCTCACAGCAGTGCCATTTCAGACCCATTCCCACTCTGTATCCAGGAGGGTGGGTTACCTTCCTGGACATGTTTGATATCAGAATATATATTCTCCCTGGCAAAAGGGTCGGTTTGCTTCCAGTGTTTTACTGCAGTTAAACCAGCCTAAACAGTCTCTCTCTGCAGGCAGCAAATGTGTGGTTTGTCCTTGTCTACACTCCTGCTAAACTGCAGCTGGCACTGATTGATGGTGTTTGTTTCAGTGAGATCATTTTTAATAATGTAGACAACAGGAGGGAAGATCAAGTGCCCTGACCCACCAGTTCTGCTGTACTAACTGCTATCCTTAGCAATAAGAACAAGTCTTGGTCATTTTTTTGCTGAAGGCCTTCCCAAATGGGGGAAGACAAGAGAGGGGGAGCAGACAAACAGCCCCTGGGGTATGAGCAGAGTTGCTCAGGGGAAACCAAAGCAATTCCTCTCCCAGCCTCAGGGCTCAGCTAAGTCAGGTTCATGTCTGAATCTCTTCCCCTGCACTGCCCAAAGTTACCTTTGTGACTTCTCTGACCACAGCCTTTAAGATCAAAAATCATAAACAAATAATTCTACAACAAATAATTCCTGAATGATAATTTCATTCTCAGTCCAAGGAGTACAATGCCCAGAACTTAAAAAAATATTGGTAAATGGATGGGAATGTTTGTCCAATCCAGAGTAGGGGGGGATGGTGTTCTTCAAATTATTGTAACTCTTTATTTGTTTTTAATAACCTGTCTCTTGAGCTTCAGGTGTCCTTGTTCAAATTGCATAGGCAGCGTAAGGCTGCAGAAGTTATAAACCTTGCTATGCCTGGTCTTCAAAGGCTACAAAACATCTGTTGGCTGGCAAGAGCAATTAATTAGCAAAATTGAAAAGACGGTTCATTTTACAAAGGCTTGGATGAGGCAGAGGAGGGGGAGGTGACTCCAGGAAAGTGAAGCCTAGTGAAGGCCTGTAAGCTGTGTGCCTCTGGGCAAATTCCCAAGGCTGAAATCTCAAGGAATTTAATGCTTCTTAATTCCACAGGATCTTTAATTACAGCCAAGAGAAGGCAATGAGATGTGATATCAATGTTTAAATGAAAATAAAGATAATAAAAAGCCTGTCAAATTTACCAGCCAGTCTCCCAGACACAGTCCCACACATGCTGAGCACCTTGGTGGGTGCACAGAGAAAATATCCAATTACATGAACATAGCGACAGGAGAGGAAAATAAAAAGGCTCCCAAACCACCCTCCCTACTCCTTCTTAGAGGCTGCCTCCTCATTTTGTCTGAGTGCTCTCTGGAAATGACGGCGCTGCTAAATGTGCGTTTTGGGAAGAGCTCATGCTCTCACATGAATTGGACCAACATCCACCTAAAATCCATCCTGGTAATTATGGACTTAATTACAAGTTTGGGTGTTTGTAAGACACTTTTTTTGGAAAGCAAAGCTAACCCTTTTAACCCTTCTAGCTAAATATCCCTCAGTGGTTCAACAAAACTCCCACTGGGCCACTGTATAAGGTGCATGTGTGTTGCCAGCTCTGGTCTGCAGTTTTTAGGTGTGTGGTTATCTTTCACCCAAAAGCTGCCAGGTACTTCTCAGGGGATTGCTGAGGAGTTTTTGCAAATAACAAGCAATTTTCCTCCTCTATTCTTCCCTAGTTTGGAGAAGCAGCACTTTCTTTGGTGTGGGGCCCAGTGCTCAGGCCTAGAACAGCTCACAAGCAAAGCAAGGCCCCAGCTGGGAGCATCATCTCTCTCTGTATCCATCTGTCCTGTGAATTTGCCGTGTGTGAAACTTCTCTGGTTCACCAGGGAAGAAGAATTGGGTGACAGCAAGAATTTGGATAAGCAAGCTCAGCTCAGGCTCTTGCCCCTGCCCAAGCCCTTCCACCGGCAGGAGTGTCGGCTCACCCCGAGCCGGCTCCAGCCTTGCCCTCAGCATAAGGCCAACAAAGGAGAAAATGTCCTTGTCTGCATTCCAGCACTTGGCACAAGAGGGACAAAGTGCCCCTGGCTCCAGCAGTCACGCTGAGATCTCTGGATTCACACTTTTACCAGCCTGGGATGCAACACGGCGTCCCCGGGCAGCGTGGCCAGGACACAATGGACCCTGCCACAGGTGCTGACACCTCTCTTGCAGCTGCTCCTCTGCATCTCCTCCTGAGTTAGGGAAGAGGTGCTTTAAGTCCAAGCAAGTTTGAAGCTGAGCTTTGAGTTTAGTTGTCTAACTCTGACACAGAGATGATAGCTGGTCAAGCAGAGGAGAGCGAGCCCCACGCACCAGCTGCTTCTCCCCAGAGCAGCAGTGCCAGGCAGGCCACGGCAGCACCCTCAGTGTAAATTAAAATCAAACCTGCCAGATGCATATGAGGGACTCAGAGGGATCTAAAGAAACCTCAGTTAAGGAAAAAAAAAACCTATAAAGATACTCGCTCTTTTAGAATAAGACAGAACAAGAATATGGCCACACATCAAAAACACAGGAGAACAACCTTATGATAATAAACAACCACTTATAATTAAAAATTAAGGATTTTTTTCTTTGGTGATTTTGATTTCTTTTCAGAAATAATTAACCTTTCTGAGCATAAGAAATGTTTCTGCCAGACAAGAATAAGCAGAAGACTAAATATGTCTCAAGGCTGAAAAAAAAATCAGATCCTCTGTGCAGTCATGGGGTTCCTGTACATTTTCCTTCTAAACTAGTAACTCAGTTTTATATTTACTTTGTTAATTAAAACTGAGCTTTATTAAATTTGTATCTTAAAAATCCAATAAAGAAGAAGCCACCACAGACAAAAGCATTTCCCTTGGTACAGCTGTTACAATGGGCTATCAATCAGCCATGAACACAGATACACAACCAACTGTGCCTATCAGAAAATGATAAACCCACATGCCACTGATGGAGGGAAGTTTTGACTATCAGCACAAAATGCAGAACTATGTCCCATAAAGGAAACTTCAAGATTATTTTTTTCCCTCTGAGGTGTACTATGCTTTATTACTACTACTACTATTATTATTATTATTGTTATTAATGATAATAATAATTATTATTATTCCTCTGGTAATAGCTAGCTCAGAAATTAATTCAGTGCAAGTATCCAGGGTGCAAAGCAGCTGAAGGGTAGATAGGGCTCTATAAATAGGGGATACCAAAAACTTGCTGTTCTTTCCTTCAGAATTTTTCTAATAAGTTTGAACTGTTCATTAAGTAGCCAGTACTCTTTGTGTGAGCAAGCAAGACACTGAACTAAAAAGCAGACCTGCCCTGAGAGCTTTCATGTGCTTCCCCTGGCTGAAGATAACACTGAACTCAAGGAGAATTGCCTGGCTCTTGTGAAGAGTGTGGTGGGTCAGACAGGAGGCACAGCAGAAACTGGATGGGATATTAACATGAACTTCTGTGCTTCTCTCTCACTGCTTGAAAAAATACATATTAAAGAGAGAAGACTCTTCAACTTGTAACTTGGCTCTAGATTTGCAGAAGGATGTAGTGACTTGAGAAGTTTCTGCCTGTTTGTTGATACATTCTGTAATTAACTTTGTGCTTTGGACTGATGACTTGCTAGAAAACCTTGTGTATGTGTCAGCATCTTTCTAAATAAAACACATCCAGTCTTCTTACATGGTACTGTACTAACAGCTGTAACAGCCAAAGCCTGGCCTAATTATACAAATTATTACAGTCAATATTTTGGCCTGAGTGTGGCTGTTGGTGGTGCCAAACAATTGTAATATGTAGGGGGTGAAACTTGTAATGAAAAATTAACTCGAGGCTTTGAGTGTCTCCACTCTCTGTGAAAGTGAGATTTCTCAAAGACTACAAACATGTTTTTCTGTTGCTCCCAAATGTTTTCATGTGTTTGCTGTGATTATTTGCACATGTGAATTCCTTGTGTATGGCTTAAAACCAGAAAAATCCATGTGGATGACCTGAAATGTCTTTCACTGCCTGCTATGACCTATGAGAGTTTCTGCCAAGGACCAGAAACAAATGTCACGAGCAGCACAACCAGCCACCATGCCCTTCAAATAACAACTAGATTTAACTCCAAATAAAAAAAAAACTGGAATGGTTTTATCAGCACCTTCTGCAGAAATACCTATGTGTTAATCTGACTGAATTGCTATTTAAAATATTTTCATTTGAAACAAATATAAAATCATCCTGGGTGACTCGAAAATATTTCTATTGCTACTGAACTTTTTATTTGCAGAAAATCAGTGCTCTTGTATATTATTCATATATTACTAACTAGTACAAAATGGAGTGACCCATTTAAAGGCCAATCAAATGCTCAAGAAGGCAAATAAAAATAGAAGAGACTCATGTGGATTTTAAATTAATCAAAGCCTTTAGGAAAATTAATTAATACCCAAATAACTGTCATTCCTGAACTGTTTCTTGGCCAAGATAACTTAGTTATCAGCTCTCAGCCTGGAAATTAGGAACTGGAAAAGTACTTGATTGATACAATAATACATAAATTAATAGTACATAAATTAATGAAGCAGATAACACCTATAATCAATGAGAAAAATTTACAAAGGGTCTCAGTGAATGTTATTATACCACAAAAGAGTTGGTTCCTTTGGATTTCAGTTTGTCTCAGTTTACTTACTAAACATGGCTCCTTTTACAGGGATTTCATCTCTTTATACACACAGCAGTTAAAATGCCAGATGATCAATCCCAGAGAGTTTGCAAGTTTATGGGACACAAACCTTACAGGAAATTTCAGCTGCCTCTGCCTAGAAGCCATTGATGAATATTTAGTGGCAATCAGTCGGCAAACTGGAATTTCAAAACTGGTCGGTTGTGGGGCAGATGGAGAACGCACTGGTGGATTTAGAAGTCAAAATGAGGTCACTGGGAAGTGTCCCCTCTTCTCAGTGGGTTCAGGTTCTCTTTTCT